GTGTTACCGAGCGGCAATATTTCACCCTGCAAGGAAAACTTATCATTAGAGTTTGTTGACATTTAAAATCAAGATAGGGAAACATGTAAACATCAAACCAATGGTAAACCACCAGATATATTTGATTGCATGTAAATTATGGTGTTTTTTTCTTACCTCAGGTTCAGCCGGAGTCATAGTGGAGACGGTGAATGTTCGGTGTTTGGAAGTGAAGTTGAAGGGAGTCACCCGTAGCTGGAAGAGGTAGGTCTTTCCAGAGAGGTGTCTTAAACAGTMTGGTAGGTCGCTGTTGTTGGCATCACTTCCCTACAGGTTAGGACCCAACAGGGAAGTGTTATTTTACATTTTTGGGTTGGGTATTTTATGCAAGAGCCTAACAATCCAAGTGTAGTGTGCAGTAGATACTTACAGCCTCCAGAGTGAGAGTAGCCGCAGTTTTCGTGGTGACTTTTGTCATCTCTTTGTCAAATACGACAAAAGTTGCAGGATGGTCACCATCAGTGACAGCGAGTTCTACCCGGTACCTGAGTAAACAGTTACAGATGTAAAAGTGGGTACTCAAATCAGTTGGGCAAACGTTATTACGGATATCATAGTGAGTAAGATGTGTAGGAATATTGCATTCATGTTGAGGAATGAAAGTATATAATGAGGTAGCGTGTATAGTAAGCATATCATATAATCAGTTCTATAGGTTCTAAGTCAAGTAAATAAGATGYTAGTTTGATGGTAATCTGTGATAGGATTGACAAAGTTATGGWAAATGAATTTTAWAACTTAGCATRAGTTTTGAGTAGRTTTACCGAACAACTCCTGTAACTGTTGGAGAAATGCATTTGGTGCAGCGTAGGGTGGTTCCATATTTGTCAAGTTTTCGGCTGCATCCAGAGCAGGAAATGTAAGACCAGCCATTATTTTGCAGGACCCCAACAACACGTGCTTTGCAAAGYAAATCTGCATCTTGGAACTATTTTGCATGTAGTAATATGGTTGTTACGCATCTATATTTATTGATACGTTCCTATAGATAAGTGTATTTTCAACTATGCATTACCTGCTCGTTGGCTTGAGATATATACTTGTATAGYTATGCGATTGAGACCAATTCTTTCTTCTGGATTCCGTTAGAGGTATCAGCGCGGGTGAAGGGTCTGGCTGCTTCAGTTTCCAAGCTGTAAWTCCGTTGACATTAGAGTGAGATTTTCTTTTCACRGGAAATTGAAGTTTGAAAGAGTATAATCAACCATGACCTTTTGGTGAATTCTTTGATGGCCTCGATTGTTGGGTCAAAAAAGAATCTGGTTGCTGGTGTGGAGTTTAAGAATAGAGCACCTCCAAASAGCTTTGGATTGATGGTAGTGACCAACATGACAGAGTTTGTAGGATCAGCAGAGGATAGGTATGCACGGAAGGTGGCTGCTGCATCGTCCCAGAGTGCTAASGAAACAGTAGTTGACCTGTACGAATTGATGTTTACATTATTTAGTGGGAGGAAAAAAGGGCAGTAAGACTGCAGTTGTTAAGTAAAACAGTTTGGTGAGAGTACGTTTCAATCTGGAAGCGGATGACTAAACGTTGTGTTGAAGTTGCATCGGTTAAGTTTGCGCCTTGGACAAAGCGGATTTGGCCGATAACATCTGGGATTTGTAAGTGGTAGCTATGTTAGGGGTATGTTTGAGTATGTGATATAGTGCGAAAMGTGAGAAAACGGAGGAGATGTTACTATACCTGGGAGTTCAAGGTTGGTATTAGCCAGAGCGTGGAGGTGGTCAGATTTCCGCAGCATGAATTTCTCTTTTGCAATAGAGACGCGAACATTAGTTAGTGGAACAATGGTTGTGTCTGGTAGGAAACGAACGACAAATGGATGGTCGGTGATCCTGTAGAGGTTTGTGCATCGGCCCACCTCAAATACACTGAGTTGGAAAATTAGACCTTCGCGTAAAACGTCTCGGTATTCGTTTGCCCGTGCAGCTGGGATGAAGCCATGAATGACAGAGCACTGCAATAGGTGAGGAGAATAAGTTATGTTTGGAATTATAAATAAGAAATATAAGATGCGGAGAAGGGCTTGGTAAGGTAATATTCCAACCTTCTCATCGAGGAAAATGAGGACAATCCCCATGAATTCACCATTCTTCTTGATGTTCCGAGCATCCCAGAAGCGAAGGAGTCGACCGACAATCTGTTGGGGTGAGCGACCTAGACGTAAGTTATCAAAAGTGACATAAGTAGCCTGAGCCGGAATAGAGACCAAATCTAGAGCAGCCATTTGAGAGTGAAGGTAGAGAGCAACTGGTTGAAAATTTTAGAGAGGAAGGTGAGTGAATGTGTGTTTGGGTTGTGATTGTTGCGAAGTTTATAGGGTAATTTTGAAACGGCTAAAAGGAGAGCTTCAATCGAAGGCGAGAGGTGGAGACGTGGGCGCATTGTAGGAGGAGTTAATTTACGAGTATAATGGCGGCAGTTACAGAGAGGGTGAAGTTGAACGTCGGAGGCGGCGGCTTCAAAGGTGTCGAAGAGAAGGAGAAGAGTCGAGTGTGAGGGTGTGTTTGACTTGGGCTTGGAAGTTTGTGGGCTAATCATTTGTAGGCTTATTTAGTTGCAGTGAATGTAAATGGGCTACGGAGAAGATGCATTTGCGACGTTTCAAGGCTTGCGTTTAGTTTTAATAGTCTTTGGCTCTGTTAGTATAAATAAGGAGAGTGGGGCCACTTTAAAAAAAAAGAAGCTTACGTGGATAGCCTAGGAGGAGAGTGAACTGAGCTATTATATATATGATTTTAACTTATGATCTAATGTACCGTAGGTCGAACGATAACATTTTAGAAATATAGGTCAATGGTAATGGTTTGATATAAATAAATTTTGAAGGATTTAATTTTACATTTAAATGTTACGGAACGGATGATTTGTTTAGTAACATGTTACTTTCTGTGGTAATTTATACTAATTATATATATATTTAGTAAATGGAATTCGAGTTAATAATTTTAGAGTTTAGTATATATTTTTTTTGTGAAAGAATTTAGTA